CAAATTTAGACAATTTATACTTCACTGATCTCACAGGCCTCCTGCTGTGAATATTCATGGCATTAGCGCACATGTACATGTACGTGCAGTAGCCTACCAGGGTATGTGTCTACAAACTCATTTTTTGTCCCTGAAGTACATGTGCATACATGTGTATGGGGGAAGTCCATTGTGACCACCTGCACTGTAGATTTACACTGCACATGACCACATGAGCTACATTACCTCCTCATAATCTAAGGTTTTCAAACACACGATGGGCAACATTTGCATCAGATGGTTGACTCATAACGAGACTTGGCCCAGCTCTCACCCGCAGATCATTTCAAGAACAGCCTCCATTGTGAACACACCAAAACCGTGACCTCCAGGGCCAGACAGGAAATCCCTTGTCTACTGGAAAATTTCTATTGTTGCGCCAGCCCCAGTCGGAACAATTAGGACTATTCTTTAATGTTTTCTAAAGTCACGATTGGAAGGTGTTTTTGAAGTTTTATAATCATGAAAAAACTATTGCATGCACAAATCAATACCTGTAAATATCAATGTATAAATGAAGACGGTAACCTATTTCATTTCACCTTTTCTGGGTCAAGTTTCTCATTATTTACACAACATCCATAACACTGTACACTTTACTTCCTGACACCTGTTGGGCAAGTTGTTGCTACATGTATGTACATGTACATGTATGTCCATTGTCTATGCAAACATCAGTTGAAGAGTTTTCTAGTGAATGTACATGTACGTACTGTTCTGGTACCAGGTAATGTACATGTACATGTCCTTGTTCATATGTAATAAACAAAAAGGAAAAAACAAGCATCTGGCAAAGGTACATGTACAGTAGATGCCAACTTTGTACAAAAAATAGAAATGTTCTCCCAGAAAAGCAGACCATTATTATACATATGGTACCAGACACTCATGCCTGTATTTTTGTTCAGTGCCTGTTTACGGGCGCCTACCGTAAATTCTAGTGTGCATGTTGTAAAGTGATTCAAGTTTAATCACCCATACTTCTGTAAAGATTGTGCACATGTGCCACACGTACACGTATATGACAGTTCACAATTAACTTGTAAGCCATGTACATGTTCATGTCACCAACCAGATACACTTATCTACATGCATTACTATAAACACATGCTTCAGTAGGGTAGTCTGTGGTTAAAATGTTATTTGACCACTTCCACATGATCACACATCAATGGCTGTAAAGGAGCATATGGAAAAACCACAATGATCGCTTCAATCTACCAATTACATGTATGTCCAAACGTTTCTGACAAGCACTGTGGTATTAAATCTTAGAGCAAATCATGGAGCAGTCCTAACTTTATTTAAAGTGGATCTAAACTTCACAAATCACTTACACGTACATGCACTATTATAGTGTCTCCATCATGTCTCACCCACGGCCAGGCAGCCACCATCTGAAATCAGGTGCACCAACTTTTATAATTGTCTTAGATTCTGTATAAAAAGACTGCAGCTCATGACTACATGGAGTTTTGTTTTTGGTCAGTGCTTTACCACTGGGGTGTCACTGTTCCTCATTGGATAGCTGCAGTAGTTCTAAGCCCCACACGATACAAATTAGTTGGTCGTCAAAATATGCTACTAAGTCCGGCATGCCTCAGCATGCTTGGAGGTGGTGAACGTAAAAGAAACACCTCTATTACCCTTGAGACTCTGAGACCAAATACCACAAAGGAGCCTTGCTGAGCAACCAGGTATTATTCAAGATTGCTCTTTGAGTGCCCTGGGAGTTTACAATTGTGCATGATGTCATCATCCCTCCAACGCTGCTGTTGTGAGCGTGAGCAATACTTCTGACCGTTCTTGCCACAAAATCTAGTGAGGACCCAAGCTGAATGCAGAGTGATACACTGTGCCGTATGTATTTACATTTTGCCAAATAAGGCAGAGAGCGCTCAGTACTCCAACATAATGGCTCACCACAACAACGACATCCCATAGAAAGAATCAATGGTCAATCAATCCACAGCAGCATACCTGAGGAGACCACTAGTTGAGTAGAATATGGTATCCCAGTGCAACATCTTTGAAAATTGCTCAGGTGTCTAAAAACCAATTCATCACCCTCGTGTGCGATGTGTTTGGGTCGGTTTTATCACGAGAATTAAAGGGTGGTAAGTAAAAGCTCTAACTTTTTGATGGAAATAGTCCATCACATAGTCTTAAAACCATACAGGTACACGTAAGTCATTAGATTTAGAGATCTAGGATAGGCCTACCAGTACCAGTATGCATCACTTACAATGGCTTTGGGGGGAAGATTTGATTGAGAAAGTGGAATTTTTGAAATACCCCAATACAACATAACTGGGCTGCATTCAGTGGCATAGCCAGGGGAGGGCACATGTCCCCCCTCCCACAAATTCCCAGCACTCCCAGGTGCCCACCCCCCTTGGAAAAATCAAATGAATGGATATTGAACAAGGTTAACAACAGTTTAACCCCCCCCCAAAAAAACCCACAACACTGAAAGCTGGTACCCCCCACAAGATGCTGGTGTCCCCTTTTAGCTCCCCACAAGTAGAATCCTAGCTATGCCACTGGCTGCATTCAAAATCCCATAAAAAGTTGTAAGGCTGCACAGTTGTAATCACACGGTGTAGTGGCTTGCAGTTCTTCAACATGTAAGGAGGCTTGGTCTGTACCATGTGTATAATGTAGGATAGTTTTTACTCACATTTGTCTTTTTTGAGCATGCATCCTAACCGGTCTGAACCCAACAAGTTTATGCATGATTTTAATGGTCCGGGGGGGGGGGGAGTTGGGTTAATTCTAAGATCTGCCTGCACCTGTTTGTCTACGCCTCAATTAATGTGCGAGTATACTCCTGTGGAGGTACATGTATGTATATGCAGAAGAGTTCCACACACACATGTAGGTACCGGTGTGTGAAATGAAATTTGAAAGTTTGAGTAATGAAAATAAAGTACTTGTAATTGAAAAGAGCTGTGCAAATGCAATCAGATAATGCAAGATCAGCTCAGTTGGATGTATACAGTATTAACAAAGTTTCGAAATTTGGGGGAATTAAATATTCCCGTCCAAGTGTCCGACATGTTGTATCAGAAAACTGTGACCCAAATTGAAGTCTTTTTTTACAGGACTTATCATTTCACAACTTATTAAATATCTGGAATAATTAAGTTGAAAATTTCTTGGGGATTTAGCATCGAATGAACTTGAAAATATTGTTCAATAACTGAACAATAATTGTTCAACAATTGAGTATAATTGTTTAATCTTAAGTGTATTAATTTAATGTGATTATTTTTGGTTTTTGTTGTAACTATGCCCCATGGAGCATTTATATGGACTTGGCACTTTATAAATGTATTGATTTTATTCATTGTTATTACAGATGAATATAACGAGAGAAAAATTAAGAATGCTACCAGTATTTTTATTTAAACTCCAACTCACCCCTCAAAAATAACTTGCAGGACCAAACAAATTACAAAAAAGTGAGAATTTGTGCCAATGAGCAAGGAATCCATCCAATTGAAGGGTCCAAAAAGGGAAGCTTGAAGATGGATATTTCAATCATCATTCACTTTGCAATTGGCTAATTCTTTGTATCCTAACAAGTATAGATTGGGCATGGTAACACTTCAAATTTTACTTAAAAAGTAATTTTGGTTATGATTTGTACCCAATGATTCCTATTTTAAAAGTATATCATGCGACAAAATTCCACTTTCTATCACGCAATCGTGGCCATCATTTTTCGGCAGAGTGTACACAATTTTTTGTATTTGATAAATTTCCACCAAAATTTCAACAAATGTAGATTAATACATGTGCGTGTAGTTTACGAACTATAGGGTTTTAGTCTTAGACTATCCTTCCTTGAGTATACTATCGATGAAATCCAAGAGCAAAATTTTCAGATTACGATTTTCAAAACTTCAAAACATCCCACACAAACAAATGTGACATTGGTTTGCACAGAAATAACATCGCCAGTTATCAGTAAGTCTAGTTTCACACATCCTTACCCTACTGAGCAATAGACTGATTCAAAGACGCAACATGCTGAAAAGGACCAAACACATCTACATCTATGCTGATACTCAGCAATGTCCATTTCTGGATATAAACACTGAGGTGAAACGAGGTGCATGCGAAGCAAAGGGGATGTTATTTTTGTGTGTCAGAATAAAGTAAAACATTAAGTGCAAGTAAAAAAGAGCTCCCATCTTGGGGCTAGTTGGCAGAAATGAGTGCCCTGAAGACGTCCACCGATGGAGCTGTTATGACGTCTGCAGGAAGGGCGTTCCAGAGCCGAAGCGCTGTTGGCATGAATGAGAACTTAAAGATGTCCTTGGAGTGAGCTGTGAGAGGCTGGTATCATGCCGGGTGGTAGTTACTGATTCTGGTATTTCTCATGGGTGTCAGAAAATTATGTTGCTTAATTGTAATGAGGTTATGAGAAATCTTGTATAGGACGCCCTCTATGAGCCACTATTTCACGTACCTACCATATATGGACACCAGTAATCATTCCCGACAGTGACCTATTTAGTGTTAATAGGGGCCTATTCTTAGCCATCAGAAAACAAAAAAATGTCATGAAAAATTAGGGGGGAAAATACCAAGTCGTTTAGGCTACCTAGGAAACACTAACTCAGTAAACTACCGGTAACTTAGTCTTAGAATTTTTCAGACCAGTGCCATAGGTGCACAGGGTAAAGCGGCATCCGTAAATGGAACTCTCTCCATTTCTGCACAATACAGGAAGATGATGAACTTTGCCTGATACAAGCCTAACCATGATAACCTGGCTAACATCACGGTAAAATAACCGGCTAACCAAGCAGTACCGTGTCCTTCCTCCATGCCTCGCCGAGAATTGTCAAAATTGGTCGTCATACTCCGAGTCAAACATTCTGAGTTACCTAACTGGCCAAGGAGCAACGAAATGGACCGATCAAAAGTACATATAAACTTGTTCCACTTACCACCTTAAGACAAAACCATGATGCGTTGACCATTTGAAATACAATTTATCTGTCACTTGACTTCTAACCAGACACAGAACACAGCCTACAGACCTCTCAGCTCACCGCCTACAATGTGTGAAAAACTACATGAGCATTTTACACATTGCTGACATTTCCGTGGTTTCCGATCCCCACATTGTCCACTACGCAGTAGAAGCAGGACACCACCCAAGGTACACAACATTGAAAAGAACCATTTCCCGGAAATTTATGGTAAAGCTGAATAGCGCCATCTATAGTATTTCCCTCGCCCTCAATTCTTTTTACACTGACCAGATACATACGTAAATGTACATTATATGAATTTTAATTTGTTTTTACATCACTGTACTTGCTGTCCCCTTGACTAATAGGCAGTGGCCCTATTTTTTTTTTGGGGGGGGAGGGGTTAGGGCTCTTCACTGGGTTAGGTCAGGGCTTACTTTTCTTATTCGTAGCCCTTACATGGAATTACATGGCACAAAAACGGAGCAAAGGAGGGGTTCTATACGTAGAGTGCGGGTGCGACATGCTTACACTAGAAAGGATAACAGATACCCCGGCCCCGTCTTTTGCTAACTGTTACATCCAAAAACAATGGTGATGCGACAACCAAAGAGGGAAAAAATCAATTAAATGAAACAAAAGGGACTGTGCACCCTGTAAATAGGCCCAAAAGCTGTATGCAAGCTCATTAATAAAAGTTATACACTCAAAGTATTTTATATTAGAGAGTTGTTAGAGCCATGAAACTAGGGAATCGAAGAGTTATCGCACTAAACCTCTGGCTTGTACTTGGGGCTTCTAATTCTGAGGGCAATGGAGTTCGACAGTGGAACCATTAAGCCGCAAATGAATGATTTTTCAAAATGGCTACTTTTCCAGCAGGGAAATTTTTCTTATTTTAGGGATGGTCTGGTTTGAGTGAGAATTTCCAGAGGTAGTAACCAGTCAAATTTTGCCAGTCCAAGTCAAGTCACAAGTCAATTTTTGCAGAGATAAGTCAAGTCACGAGTCATTTGATCACAAGTCAAGTCACAAGTCAATTTGGTCCAAGCACAAGCAAGCCACAAGTCTTTTGTCCAAGTACAAGTTAAGTCGAGCATTATTTTATCTAGCTGTAATAAGTAAACGGGGCTGGGCAGTAACTTAACAGGCGCGGTTTTACAGAGCCATTGTGGGGGCTGGACCCTTGTCATGTGACGTCCCCTTTTAACTTTCGTTATTGCTGTTTCATTTTTGGATGGGGGGGGGGGGCTAGGCAAATTTTGGAGGGGGGGGTTAGATCCCTCCCCTAGCCTCCCCCGGTAGAACCGCGACTTTGAACTTAAGACTTACGAGTTTTATTAGACAACATAAATAAACTTAATTCGCTTGGTGAGTTACATGTACACGTATGTACACACCTACACTTTTTTGTTCGATAATAATTTGCATGTGTACTCCTAGTACTACACTTTTACTGTACATGCATGAACAGCAAATGCTTGCCATTAACATGACTACATAACTGCCAGCTCTGTCGATGAGATATGAGGACTGTATTTTGGGCTCTACACCCAGACGAAGGAGTCTGACGAAGGGCCGCGTCTGAATTTTCGCTTGGCTACAGCCTGAAACTATGCACGAGACTATGGTACGGTGTACACGTACTGGCCCGCCACGTCACGGCCACAGATAGCCATGGTTCGTGTGATTTCAAGCCACAGCCAAGTGAGTCAGACTTAGTATGGACGGACAAGACCGAACAAAAAGTCACAAGCCAAATGAAGTCTTACGCTGATCATTTTCAGAACAAAGAGTAGTTTTCTGATTTGCGTTGGTAACAGTTCACAATGTGCAAGTCCGAGTCAATTCACAAGTCATTTTTTGGAATTCCAAGTCAAGTCATAAGACAAAACTGACAGTTTACAAGTCAAGTCACGAGTCACAAAAATAGCGTCTCGAGTTCGACTCAAGCCCAAGTCAAGTGACTCGAGTCGGTAACTGAAAAAAACATCGGTAAACCCTAAGAAAATTTAAAGGAAACTGAAAGAGGACATGTGGAACATCAGTTTTCTGTGGGACCTGAACACCTGTGAGGGGTTGTAAGTATTTTTAAAAGAATTTTGATTTTTGAAATATTGGGATTTATTGATGTAGTCTGTGGGAATATATTTACAGGGGGTGCACCCGTACTGGCTTTACTTAAGTCGAAATTGAGCTTTTTTGCGTCGTGGTCATTTGATTTCTCGTGGATAGAAAGCATATGCCCTGGCATCAGCATAAATTCGTTATACATGTAACTAATTTAAAGTGCTGCATTTATTTTCCAACATTTGGCAAAGTTTACCATGACCCTTGCACTTTTCTCCGTAAATATCATAAAGAATACAAGCATCCCATTCAATTTTTGATAGCGAAAATCTATTCGTCCCATTAGCGTGCAATTGGATCCGCCACACGTAGTACATGTACTATACATGTAATATGCTCATGGTGCTTTACAATATCTGCATACTCCCCGAAAGTTTTTTTTTTTATGTGTATCTTCGAACGACTTTCAAATCGGGTTCCAATTACGATACTTTTTCTATCCAGTGGCTTAAATTTGTGCTTGAAATGGGTATTTTGGGTGACCGATTTTTATAAAGTGGAATATAAAACTGTATAGTGTACGCGGAATCTTGATGAATTCACAGTGTAACGTCAACAGTCTCTATGGGTCTTCCTCATGCCGATAAATGCCACTTAAGCTTTCTGCTCGGATTTTTGTGACTTTCGGCCATTTATTTTCCCAAACACACTCAAAACAACAATGTGATTCATAAAACACTACTGCGCCGGCGCCGCAGCGATGGGTCTAACGGGCTGCAGTGGGGCCCACCACACGGCTCTACCGCTAGCGCTCCCTTCTGGTCACCTAGCACTGACGCTAAACCGACCCCTTTGAGGACTCTTGTTCGTTCTCGAACAAGGAAGCGAGCACCAGGGACCGGGTTTCCGCAGACGTCCGATCCACTGGCACCAGAGGTCCCACTCGTGGGTGGGTTGATGCCGTCTTTATTCCCGTCCGTGGTTCAGTCTCCATCTCTGGTGCAACTTCAGCCAATACACAGGCCAAGAGAACACATATCATTCTTTGGGTTCTTTGTGCACGGACCAGCTCTGCTTTATTGACTCCCGTACGGAGCACCCGTGCCGGCTCCGCATTATTGACTTGTTTGAGGAGATGGGGGCTCCCATTGACTGCCATACGGAGCACCCCCAGCCGGTTCCGCACCACTGACTTGCGTGAGGAGCGGAGTGGCTCCATTGACTCTCGTGCAGAGCACCTCTGTCGGCTCCACACCATTGGTTTGTGTGAGAAGCTGCTGTGCTCTATTAACTCCAACAGAGCACCTCTGTTGTCTCCACACCATTGACTTGTGTGAGGAGCGAAGTGGCTCCATTCTCTCACATGTGGAGCACCTCTTCCGGCTCCATTGACTCCCACGTGGAGCCCATCCAAAGGCTCCGCGCCAGTCACTTGCATGAGGTGCAACTCTACGGGCTCCGCCTTTGTGACTCTTGCAGGGTGAACCAGCTCTGAATGGAGGCTAGGCTTCGACACACGTACTGTGAGTGGGAGGACTTAAGTGCTTAAGTGGAGAGGTTCCTTCTCTCTGCCGTACGGCATAAGTTGTTGGGTGTCTTCAGATGGGTTCCTGCCCCTGCTTCAGGGGCCGCCACCGCCTGTGGGCACTAAGTGTGGGAGACTGGGTCCGTATTTGAACCAAGCGGTTGTTTCTTGTAAGTCATGCAACTTGTAGTTGAAGAGTGAAAAATGTGGGGAATCCCATGATGAAGCCCCGCCCCCGCCGCAAGAGCAGACACAGCTTGACAACGTTCCAAATGGAACAGTGTGTCCGCTATGCTGCCGTTGTCAGCATGGGGCGGTTCCCCGTGGACACTGGCACTGGACACTTGGCAGACAGACACTTGGCAGACCTGGTTCGGGAAAGGACGAGAGTCCCAAGATGAAGCCCTGCTCCCGGTGCAACGACACGTACAACTTGACTAAGTCCGGAATGGAAGGGAATATCTGCCATAATGCCGTCTTCAACATGGGGTGGTTACCTGTGGGCCCTGACACTAGTACGACAGAAACATGGTCAAGTGTCCCAAAACTAAGCCCAACTCCTGCTGCACTGAAAGGCGGAACTCGACAATGTTCTGACTCGAGCATAATTAAGTCTGCTTCGCCGCTGTCAACAGCACAGGGAAATTCTCTGGGGACACACCTCGTACCACGTCGGCGAAGACAATGCATGGTATGTCTCTCAACCGTCTGGCCTGGCTCACCGTCACCATTACCTTTCCACTCACAGGTTCCAGAGTAAAACCCTCTTGGCTGACCTGTAAGAAAAAGGAGTCCAGTTCGTCGAAAGTGAGGAACAGTGGTTTTTCACTAAACAGGGCCTTGCAAAAATACTCGACTTCACCGAAAGTTCTTCCCTGTCCACCAGGCTGACCCATACAATCTCCAAGGACCTGTTCCAGCCCGCATCCCCACCAAGTGGCGAGTGAGATGCCAGACCAATGTCACTTGGGTTGTGCATGTCGAAAAAACACAGAGAATAATTCACCTGTCTTCTTCGTCAGCATCCCACCGCTGCCACCAATGTAACGTGAACCGCCTATATGGGTCTCCTCCCACCGACAAAAGACACCGTGAAGCTTTCTGCTTGGGTTTTTGTGCTTTATTATCACTCTGTTTTGTCAGACATAAACTCCAAAACATACCCAAAACAACAATGTGACTCAGAAAACGCGAAAACGCTACTGCAGCGGCACCACGGCAACGGGTCTCCCGGGCTGGCCAGTAAGGGCCCGCCATACGGCTTTACCGTGGAACTGTGCTAGCGCCCCACTGGTTATCCGACGCCGACGCTGCAATAGTACATGTACATGTACCGATAAGATAATGTTCCAAAATTGCTTTTTACTCACTTCAAAGAGAAAAATGATGTGTAGACCCAAAAAATAGGAATAATATTGTTATATAATTGAACTTTTTTTGAACTTTAATCTAAACATTAAACCATAACACATGAACCTATGAATTGATCTGTGCTCTTTCTTTCGCCCTGAATCAGGCGTGAACATCGTCATTATCATACGTCACTTCAGTCCC